AAAGATTTTCTCTATTGTAAAATTATATAGTTTTCTAAAAAGTGCTTCTTTTTTTTCTTTTTTTTTTTGAAATTAAAAGCTAAAGTGAGAGATTTATAGTTTTTGGAGTGGAGCTGGTCCTAACAACTCTTAAATTTGATAATTTTTATCAATTTCTAAGTTTTTTATAATTATTTTATTTGAATTCTTAATTTTAACAATTTAGTGAAAGCTTTATTTAGACAATACTTTTACAAAAGTTACAGTTAAATCAAATAGACTCAATCTCTCTACTTCTTAGAATCTTTTACAATCTGCCATGTGCATTACAATGTGCTAATGTTTTATGTAGCACTGCCAAAGTGGCACCGGCATGGTGGTCACCATTATCAACATGTTGACTCTTTACCAGGTCGATATCAGAGAAGCAAGAAGAGGAAGCCCTACTTACCACCTCTACATGATCTCTTGAAAATTTTTGCCTTCACTTTTTGGAAGTTATTATCAAGTTTTATCTTTTCATTCTTTTCAAATGAAGCATTGAGGGAGGAAATGTTCAATGAACAAAGTGATAGTCATCATTATAAAGCACATTGCACCCCCCATCTGTAATATTGGAGGACCCCTCCACATCCCACTCAATTCAAATATCAACCCATCAATGCTCTTATAATTCCCAACTTCACTTAGGACTTTAGATGCCTTTTTTGAAACTTTTTCAATCTCTTGTGCTTTATTCACACCCTTCTTCCTTCTCTCCTTTATGCTCCTTAATCGTTATTATCATTACAGATTAGCCCATTAAAAGCAACAGCCAACCCGATTTTCTTCTTTTCTCCTACTCATAACCATAAGCATGCTTAAAAAGGTTTAGCCATTTATTTGTTTATGCACCTGTAAATATCCTCTCTACAAGATTAGTATGAGAAGAGATATGATGGTGACAATGAAAAGCATATGTTTTGGCCCTGTGATGGAATTTCATATTTATATATACATAAACTCCTTTTAGTAAAGTGATCACATGATTTATATTGTTAATCAATAAGACTAAAAATAGCTTCTGTCTGCTAATCCTCGGATGAAAATGTTGGTTCATGATCTGGTCAAAATTTAATTTGTTATACTAAGATCTTTAAAAGGTCTGTGTTTCAAATTTCTTCCACAAGCACTTTGGATATAAACAATAAAATGTTGGGCCCAGAAATGACAGTTTTCTAGTTCTAGATTATATATATACTAGTGTTGGATGACCAAGTAGTTAAGAACTTAAATTTTTATGTTAAAGATTTTAAATTTAAATTTTAAAATAGGTGAAAAGGGATTTAAAAATCCCTATTATATAAACCATCATCCAATCTACCAAAAAATATATATACTAGTGGGTTCACAAGTGGGACTACTAGCCTCCCCAAATGATGGCAGCCCAAAATTTTCATGAAAATAAAATAATCAAACGGGGAGAGAAATCTTCTGGCAGGAGATCCTAAAAGGTTTGCCATGCACTTACCAAGTAACTCCCCTTCTTTTACCAAAAAAAAAAAAAAAAAGTAACTCCCCTTCCACCGACCAAAGGAGAAAAATTTTGTGATCTCAGAAAGATAGTAAGTTGCATTATTATTTCTGATATACATGGTTTAGATATCTGGAACATAACTTATGCCAGACACCGTAGATTTACAATCTTCAATATCCTTGTCAATTCGAATACTCTGCAAAATGCATGGTTCAAGTCTTACCTAATAACAAGAGTTTAGGCGAGTTGACACCCCTAATTAACTTATAATCCTAAACTCTGA